GGGGGGGGGAGGGAAAAAGCAGTCGTTAATGAAAACAGAAAACTTTGGGTGGCTGAACTTGACTTCTGTTGTGAGGGGGAGATGGGAAACACACAACAGGCTTCACGGTTACACGACTGCACACATGCTGAGTGTCTCTGATCACACAGTCAGCCAGGAACACAACAGGGTGCTGTGAGTGAACGGGGCTAGCACGAAACAGCTACTGTGTGTACAAATGCAGGTCGATGGGATGAACTCTGCTCTGTGGGAATCTACTGAGCCCCTTTCAGACACCGTCAGCAGCACTCGTCACACGTCTGCTAAACTACCGTTTATTTTTAAAAACCAGGAAATCACTGTTTCAGTTAATATCAGTCAATTTATGTTAAACGTCTTTTACTGAATAGTGTTGAAAATCTCAAGCCGTGTGAAACAAAATGTTCATGAAAAGCAAAAGAGTGCGTCTGAATCTGGATTAGTGACGGAGAACTGTGCATAAAATCCAGAGTTTTACAGCGACTACAACGTGCCATCATTGTTCATCACCCACAATCACTAGCTCAGCCTGCTTTATAGCCTGAAGTATCTCAGTTATCAGCCACAGTGTTAGTTTATGACTCACTTCTGTTTGCTTACACACTCCATGCAAACTGCAGCTTTTAAGTGGTGCGTGTGCATTAACGCACTTTATGGATGCAAACAGTTTTAGGGAGGGCGATGCTCGTTATCTTTACTATCAATTAATACTTAATGGACACCGTTTTTTCTAGACCGATATTAAAACGTGTAACAGAGTTTGTTTACTCTGATGCAGCTGCTCAGGTGCGCTCAGAGGCTCTGGTGGTTTCCCCACTAATGTGTTTGAAGTTGAAGGTTTTGAGTGTAAGAGGCATATCTGATCAAATCAAGGCCCTGATCATGCTACAACCTGGCTCGATGAATATCTTCAGGTTCTCAGTAAACTCTGATTTATGTCCCAAACTAAACACACAGTTAAGTCAAAGGACAGCAAAAAGGACGTTCAGGCACTAAATGTAAGAGAGGCAGCTTTATCCACCTGCCACGAGGCTCTGTTTGACTCCAAAAAGCAAAAACACCAAAGCCACAGAAAGAGAAGAGAGTCATTTAACTGTAAATTGCCATGCAGCTGAAACACAGTGTTTCAGCTGCATGGCAAATATCAAAGTAATGGAGTTGAAAGCAAAGATAAGCTTTGTTTTCATGTGCAGCTGGTTTTATGCCACAAAGCTGGGCTCTACGGCGCAGAAAAACTACATGATGACAGATTCTTTACTTTTCAACTGAAGCTTCCTCCATCATCTAAAATCAGTCATTTTTTCCCTTTTACATCAGGATACAGTCTAGTTTTATTAAATGCTTCGCACTACCAGAAGCTACTGTTGTCATGAGTTTGAGGTGTTTATGTGCTGGACTAAACCAGAGTTATGACGGTTTTGTGTTTTCTGATTAGTTTCAGCGTCGACTTCAGTTTAGTTTGTTCTGTTGAGTTTTAGTTTAGTTGCCGTTAGTCATAACGCTCAGTTTTAATTTTATGAGTGATTAAAATACTGAAGTTTAACTGTCAGCGGTAAGATTCAGCATTTTCCTTTGTTTTTTAAGTAAAATTAGTTCATTCTTTGTGTTTTTTGCTGCTTTTAAACTACTTTTAGTTTTTATTAACAATATTATTAACAATAACCTTGAACTAAGCGTTTTAACGGTTATTAGACTTTTTCCTGGAGGACCAAATGACAAGTTTGATGAAGGCTGTGTTGTTTGTATTACAGGACGTCAATAAACTCTGTTGTCCAGTTTCTCAGACATGAGAAGCTGCCATGCCTGAGCAGCTGAGCCTTTGTCTGGCCCTTCGTGTGACTCCCTCTGCGTCCAACACGAGTCACAGTAAGCGCTGAAGCTCGAGTCTGAAAGGGGCTCTGAACTGATGTGGGCGACAGTTCCCATCGAGGTCCAACATTACAGGACCAGCCTAATGCTTCTCTACGCGATGTCTCCGAAACTGCTACAGCTACCATGAAGATGGAGGTCAGACTAGTCTGTCTACGCATGTTTGGCTTCATTAGAGGTAAATCCACAACAAACAAACCCAGGAGCAGAAAGTACTTGAAGTAAGGAAGAGGGCAGGAAGTCTGGATGTTTTAGCCGGGAACTGCCATCAGCTTTTCACACTACACTTCATGCATCCCCCTCCCCTCCCCTAAGAGGCAGAGCCTAAGAGACAGGTGCAAAAAAAAAAAAAAAGTGGGGGAACAGATCACGTGTGAAAGGGGCGGGGCTAGTCACCAGGGGCGGCGTGTGCTGCTTGAGCTCCTCCAGATGCTCTAATATATTCTTCTTAGTGATGATGCCCAACACAATCCTGAAACACACACCTGTTACTCAGCAGACTGCCCAAAACAACAAACAGACACAGAGAGAACACACAGCAGCAGTACACAATAAACACAACAAAAAATACAACTCAAAACTAACAAAACTAAACAAGCAAATACAACTAAAGTTATAAATGAAGTCAAAGTGTAACGATAAAAGAATAACGGTTTAATTACTCATAATATGACTGATTCTTCTGTCAACAAATCCCATGAAGAGGGATTTTACACTCATCTGCCACTTTATTAGGTACACCTGTTAGACTGCTCGTGGCACTGCCATCCTGGATGTGCAGCAGACAGATGTGCAGCAACTGTGTGAACTTCTCATGTCAACATGGACGAAAATGTCTGAGGAATGTTTTAAACACCTTGTTGAAGCAGCTGTGAAGACAAACCTGGGTCACACCCAGTACTAGCCAGGTGTACCTAATAAAGTGTACAGTGTCTTTTGTAAGCTGTAAAAAAGATTACGTTACAGCAGAGTATCAGACAGGTGCATTAAATGACTTTAGGTTTATCCAACGCGAATGTAAGAATCATTAAGAACCAACATTTATTAGCAGCTAATAATAATCCAACCAATGAACCTAATCCCTCTAATCTCTGTAGGATTGCTCAGTGTTTTATAAGTACTTATTTTTCAATCATTGTGTAACGTTGTTCTTCTTCATACGTATAAAGGAGGCCTTGTTCCTTCCTTACTCTTACAGGAGTGAGTGTTCACATTTAACATTTTAAATTATGAGATAAGTGTGTGACTGAGCCACAAACTCAGCATTCGGCCTGCTCTATGTGCTCAGTTCTTTCTGTGTTTTGCTCTGTATGACATCACTGTCTATCACTAAAACAGTCATCTCAGGAACTGAGCAAATCCCCTGCTGTTCAAACCTTCTGCTTAGGAGGGGCAGCCAATGAGAAGGAAGCTGGCTAAAGTAGCTGCCTATATTCAGGTGGATGAAGACCCAGTATCAGGTAAATACAGATTATTCTGAACTATTAATCAAGCAAAGCTACTCTAGCAAATCCCAATAACAATAGAAGGAAAGATCGTAATAAATTTACATCTTTAAATCATCCTGAACCTCCTTCATGACTGACAGTTTAGGTCTTTTCATGAGATTTGTTGACAACAACAAAAATATGAAAAATAAAAAAAACTAGTGTCATTATTTAAGAAATAAATAAAAGGTTAATCCTAAAAAAGGTAAATGAAACAAACACTGCTGCACAGTTCCTCTCCAGTGATCATCACAGCAAATTAACACGGTCTGTCTCGTAGTTTCAACATCGCACATCTGCAAAGACCCAAACAGACCGGATCTCCTGCAGGCGTCTCCACACGTGGACGAGACTTTACTTTTAAATTAGTTTCACTGAAGGTTTCTCGCGGAGGTAAAACCTTTAACGTTCCTCCTCAGATTCAGACCACACATCAGCTCCTCTTACTGTCTATACTCCCACTGCGTGACACCTGTTATGTGTTTGTGGTTAGTTTCCGTCAGCAGCTCAGCCTCTCCTGTAAAGGAGACCGTCACTGCTCACCGGGAGGATAAAAGGAGGTGCAGCACAGCGATTAGGCCAGGCCATGCAGATTACAGCATAAATCCAGGGATCCCAGAGCTCATGCAACACCAGACAGTGTGTGTGTGTGTGTGTGTGTGTGTGTGTGTGTGTGTGTGTGTGTGTGTGTGTGTGTGTGTGTGTGTGTTAAGCAATCACTACACCAGAAACAACGATGTGAGACGGATCCACCTTCAGCTCCTACAGCACCTCCTTCCTTCCGAGACACACTTACCCGTTGTGAGTAACCAGGCACTGGCGCAGACCCAGCTTCCTGAAAATGTCCACCACGATCTCCATGGGGGTGTGGTCAGTGACGGTGAAGGGGCTCATGTCCAGGATGGAGCGAAGCTTGAGGGGTCGAGGGCTGTCGGCAGGCAGCGTGGGTGCATGCTGGGTGAAGTACACCCTTGAGTTCAGCACGATGCCCTCCTGTTTGCGGCGTGCGTTCTCTGTAGAGATATGAAAAGCATTCACTTTACACCATCTTTAAACTCCAGAAGGTCACGGGGGGTTCAGGTGTTGTCTCTCCAGTCTTACCTATAGCGATTGTGATGTCTCTGCGCAGAGCGAAGCCCACTAGCCTCTGGGACTCCTTAGACACGATCACAGGGAAACCATTATAACTGGTTTCATTGATAATGCCCTGCAGCTCCTCCACAGTCAGGTCGTCCTGCGTGAGCACTGCCAACGGCGGGTCGTTGCGTCGGGGCCTCATCACCTCCCGGGCCAGCGTGGTGTGCGTGAACTCCTCCTTTGAATCCAAGAAGGGGTATCCGTTCAGTCGGATGTGGGCCTCGTAGATTCCCTCTCGACCGAATGCATCGCCCACCCATTTGCTGGTCATCACGGCGGCCATGAGGGGGACGATGTACTCCAGCCCGCCGGTCAGCTCGAACACGATGATGACGAGGGAGACAGTCATACGAGTCACTCCACCTACAGAGGGAGGAAGGCGTGACAGTAACACGCATTAAACTACGACTCCAACTAAAAAAGTGTTTATTTCTATAACAGATGAGGCAAAGCTACACATCCCTGATCACATGTTACTCACAGTGAGTAACATGTTCTGACACAGCCAGTTATTGCAATAGCAGCAGGATATCTCATATATGCTCATCACCCGCCCCTCGGTGCTGAAACGTGAAGGCTTTGGCACAAACTGGTGGCAAAGCTTAACAATCCCATTAAGTGCTGACTCACCCAGGCACGCTGCAGCTCCCACCATAGCGTAGAGCCCTGGAGTGATGCAGTCAGCTCCGACTTCGCACCACTCTTTGAACAGGAACCAGTCGTGGTGATAATATGCAAGCTGCTCCATGGCAATGCCAACAATCCGCCCCGCGATCGCCCCGATGGCCATGCTGGGGATGAACAAACCCGACGGCACCTAACGATGAGAAAGGAACATGTTTCAGTGCTGATGAAGACTCGCAGGGCAAAACATCTGCTTCATTATTAAGGAAAAAATCTCTCACCTTGAGTCCAAATGTGAATATAGTCATAATGATTTTAAAGATGAGCGCCAGGCACAGCTGCCACATGGCCGAGTAGACGCCGGGCCCCGCCGGCTGGTCATCAGAGAAGGCTTTGGTGCCGTTCATCTGGCTGCGGTACTGACAGAGCTGCGAAGACTCCAGCGGACCGCAGTCGGTGAACAGCTCCTTTATCAGCTCGCTGGTGTTCTTACGCGTGTAAGGGTTTGGGAAAGCAACCACCGCAGTGATGGCCGCCACCAGGATCACCTCCAACACCGGGTACCTGCCTACAGAGCGAGACAGAGGTTTGTGTGAAACGCCTCAAATGCAGATTAAACACTGTTGCTCTGCTTCATGGAAAGATGCTTGTATACATTTGATTTTAAGAAAAGAGGATTTTAAAATTCAGACACGGCAATGTGGACTCACTAAAATCATAAAAAGCACCTGAGAGGAGAGTATCGACTGATAGAAACAGTCTTTATTCCATTTCACTTTTTTCCACCATTAAGCTCTCAGTAAAAGTTTGAAATGGTGAGGTCACCACGAGGTCACATCATACCGAAACGTGTCGACTTGCGCCGCCGGCACCAGGCGATGTTGGCTTTGATGAAGAAGGCGCCCCAGAGGCCCCCGAACACTCCCAGCAGGATGAACGGGAGGAGCTCAAACAGGTACCATGGCGTGTGGTACTCCACGTAGAACAGCACCAGGCGGCTGTTCCCAAACGGGTTAATGGAGCGAAGCACGAAGGCCGCCACCAGGGCCGCAAAGAATGAGCGCCACAACGTCTTTAGAGGGAAATAGTAGCTCACCTGAAGGAGAGAGGAGAGCACTGGTGGATTAATACTGTTGCTGTTACCATCACATTAAAACAACACCACATAGTAACTTGTTTAAGTGCTGATGCACCTCCTCTAAGCTGAAGAGGACTCCCCCGATTGGTGCTCCAAAAGCAACAGACACCCCGGCAGCTGACGCGGCAGAGAGAACCTGAGAGCACAAAACAAACACACCTCAGCACCAGCGCCGGGCTCGTTCACACAGGCACAAACTACTAAAAACACTCGTACGTATTAAGCATTTATTACTCGTGCTACAGGGACTTGGACTTTTTTGCTCTCACCTCTCGTTTCTTGGCCTCGTTCTTGCTGTACTTGGGGAAGAGGTAGGAGAAGATGTTCCCACAGCAGCAGGCCACGTGGACCAGGGGGCCCTCTTTCCCCAGGCTCAGGCCCGACGCCACAGCCAACACCAGAGTGATGGTTTTGATCATCAAGGTCCACTTGCCCAGATATCCCCGGATGATGAACCCACTCAGGATGGTCTTGATCTATGGCAGAGGCAGGAGTGAGGAAAGCCAGGTGCTCAGGATCAGACACGTAAACACATGAAAGTTAAAATGAAATAATGACATAAATTCACTGGGTTGTTAGTTGAGCTGCATCTCTGCTTTCAGGTCATTGTCTAACACGTGCCGCTTTTGTGTTTCCATGGCAACAAAGAGCCCCCCCCCCCCTTTTTTTCTTAGCAGTAAAATATTTCACATCGCCCAGCTGAATTAATAATTTTTAAGTGCTTCAGCACATTAAAAGATCCTGAAACCCATCAGACTCTTTCACAGAGTCACCGGGAGACAAATCGATCACCCAGCGAACAGTCGAACAACATTTCCCATTTAAGAGTTCAAGGATTTCCTTCATGCACATCGATGTATCACCAGAAGAGGTTAAAATGAAGAAAGTTTCAGCTGTACCAGGACTTACAAAAGCAATGTTTTCCTCACCTCTGGGATCCCTGAGCCGCAGGCGTACGGCGCAAACACCTTAACCAGACAAACTGCCAGGAAGGCGAAGGACAGAGCCCAGTAGATGTACATGAAATAGTTCATGATGTACGAGCCGGGGCCCTGCAGAGAGGGGCGGATGAAGAGGGAGGGAAAAGTTAAAGAGTGGAAGAAAAACGTCCAAACCTTCAATAAAAAATTTAAAAAAAACTTGTGTGGACGCCTGAGACTACGTCTGCCCTTATGTGTCAGTGTCACTGCAGTCAGCTCATGAGAAAAGGTGCAAAGCTTTTGCAAACTGTCTACTTTTTAATTGAGATTTTTTTTTAAATGAATTTGAACAACAAGGGTTTTATTTTTGCATCGTTGCTTAGAAGCCGTAGCCTCTTGGTCTCACTGCAGTGACGAATACGTACTGCAGAAAATGTCTGGTTTTAAATCGGCAGCATGCGCTCCCTTTCATGTGCCCGTGTTCCTCTACCTCAGCCTGCCCCAGTATTAGCTCAGCCCAGCTCTTCCACTGAGGACACTTGTCCCTCTCAGCGAAGGTGGTCTCATTGGACGTCCAGCAGCACTGCTCGTGGTTGAACCACAAGGCGCTCAGACACACGCCCTCCTTCAGGTCGTTCATCCAATCAGCAGCAATGTCAATCAGGCCAGCCAAAGCACCTGGCGGGAGGAGGGAACCAGGAAAGGAAAGGAAATAAAAGGGCAAAGAAGTGAAGGCAGGGACGAGTGGGAAAGGTGAAGAACAGAAAAACAGAGAGAGAGATGAGTTCCTAACTACACTACCAGGCTTACTACCTGACAAAGATGTTTTCAGGTGATTTAACAATAATTCTGAGAAACATCCTCACTGAATATGAACCTAAACGCACACTAGAAAACTCTGCAGCAAATCTTCACATTAGACGATCTTAAGCTCTCAATGCATAAATATTACAGCACAAAAATCAGTGTCTGACTTAAACAGCAAAGCTTCTTTCGGCTGCTCCTTTATTCACAAACCTTGCCACAGTGGAAAGATTCACATGTTTGATCTGACAGATGTTTAATGCCTGATACCTGGATATCCTGATACTGGGATCTGTGTCTCCTCCTGTTCTCTAACCAGTGACCTTTGGCATGTAAGGGGACTGTGTGGCTGACATTTTCATATCAGATGGATCTTTGTAAACATCACAGGCTCGCTGACCTTCACGTGACTGAGTGCAGCCACATTTCTAGATTTCTACATATTATTACCATCATTTTATCCGCCTACTTCTCCCACAACCTGTCAGTTTTTTGGGGAGAGTGGGGAAAAGGCCTGTTGGTGTGATAAAGACAATGGAAAGTGGTATCTGTAATAATTATCTCATTTCAAAAGGCTGTATTTTATGAAGTAATGGACATTTTAGGCCCTAAAACAGCTCAGTCACCCCTTTTTAAATCTATATAATGTGATATCACAGTGCAGAGCTTCTTTTACACAAAGAGCCCAACAGGCATACTCATTTCACTCATTTCTCCCCTCTGTAGCCTGGACCTTTTCATAACTACTCCACTTTGACTAGCTCAGCTAGAAAAAGATTTTCTGTTATTTAGTGGCCATAAAACACACACGGCGAGGATTTCATGGCTCTGAGATGTGTCACGTGGGGCTCTGCAGGAAGAACAGTGTGCTTATAAGAGGTGGGTGAGCGAAAGCACAAGACAGTGAACAAGAGAAAGACTGAGTGTGAGCTGCCTGAGGCAAAGCATGTGAGAGTCACCGGCAGGGCAGATAAGAGCTGTGTGCACTTTAGTACCACATGTATGTTACCTGATGCCAAGCCAGTGAGCGTCACCACCAGCCAGCCGGACCAAGCGTCGTACAGGCTCTTGGTGAACTCCCATGCAGACTCCTTTTTCTTACTATTGATCTGTATCAACACACACAAAAGACTCAATAACAAGCATCGATGGCTAAAAGTAAAACTATTAGATCAACTTACAGTGAGATTAATGCAAGTGAGGGAAAGGTTAACAATACCTCATCAGCCTTTTACAGCTGAGGGGTAAAAACAGTGACCTTCAGTGACAATACACCACCTCTACACTGTTGCCTCAATATAACAGTCAGCTGAGGGGCAGAGAACACCGGGTATGCAAATAACATTCAGATTGTCCTGCAGTAAAACACTTGGATAAAAGTGTTGGCAGACCCGAAATGTGCTCATGACCAACTGAAGGGCCATAAAATCTCCCACACACTTTGCTCATGAATGCTAGTGGTGGATAAGAAGTTGATCTTTTCATTTATAATTTGGAAACTGTGGTCGAGTTTGTATAAATTAAAAACATTATAAGATGGGATCATTTTTGTTGGAAAGCAGTAGGTGCTGATCCTACCTGACATTTCTTTCTTTTATGTGACCCAAACAAACTGTTTCTACAACAGGAAGTGCATAACACAGTGGTGTGAAACGTATCTTTTTTTCTTTCTTTAAATTAAGTACGGCTGTTTGTGGCCCGTGAAGAAGAATATTTTCTTTCCAAAATATTAAAAATATTTGTCTGTCTCTGGGTGGAAGCTCTGACAGGTTTTCTAATATACATACAAACTGGTTATTATATCAAAGTATAAAAATTTTTGCTCGAAGCTGAAAAGTTTTTATTTTTTGAGCTGGTTTGGCGTCGGGGTCCTCACCTTCCGGTGTCTCTCGCGGTCCTTGCACTTCTCACGGACCCAGTCGATGGTGTGAAAGTCATCGTAGGTCCCAACACCAGGGATGGGCTCCTCTAGGAAGTCCAGCAGGTGGGTGGAGCTGCTGGGAGCCCCGCCCCCGTTCGACATGGCGTAGTTAGATCCTGAAGAAAAAAAACAAAGAGCACAAGTTCACAGTCCAATTTTTTAAAAGAAGACTATTGACATTTAAAACATATTTGAAAGAGTAAAAAATAAGAAATATGATTTTTTTCCCCCACAATGTATGAAACCAGAAGGTTGTGTGAGCAGGCTTACAGTGTTACACCATACATCAGTCTGATGACTTTCAAACGATACATTTTGGCAGTTTATACTTCTGATTCTTACATATAATCCTTGAAAAAAAGAAAGAGATCCATCACAGTGCTGCCTCGGCTGCATTAGAGTTACACCTCCTCCATAATCGAGCCCCATCAGAAGCACCGCAGAGATCACTGCACGTCCATCACTGAGATCTAATGAGACTGCTGGAAACACTGCAGCCCATCACCTCATGTGGAACAAAACCCATAACTAATCATAAGAGCTTACCTCTACAAACTAGATGTAACCATTAAAGGCCATTACATTTTAAATATATTTATGTATGTTTAGGTTTGCTTTGAGGGTAAAAGCCATTTTGAATTCTGCTTCACTGGTCCACAGGCTGCAGGACCATGTGACTCCCTTCAGGCCAAATAACCACTTCTATCTTGTAAGTAATGACTTGAACATGACTTGGATTATTATCAGGAAAAATTCATTAATGATAAGCGAAACAGCAGCAAACATTGTTAGCTGAATACTATATGAACACCCATATAGTATTCAGAGATGGGCTGATCCTCTCATTCTGTGCAATGACTTTGCTCATTATGCTGGGACGAGACGCCGGCAGTCACTGGTTAGGTCTGACCTACTCTGGCAGGACGGACATGCTCAGTATGAACACAGAACAAAACATACTGAGTCATCTGCACACAGACGCGAGTTGAGGGGCCGATTCTCTGCGTCTTATCTGAGAAGCATCACAGGCTTTCCACGGCTGACATTTCTCTTTGCTGCCTGAGGCGGCGGCGTGATGAGAAATGATCTCTGATGTACAACAGCGACCTGTGGGAGACTTTAAAATCCCTCCACAACATCCGTATAATGCAGCAGGTTTCCTTAAGAGCGCCATTTAGTTTGTTTAACTTGGGACAAAGCCTGTTTGAGAAATCAGAGAAAAGTCCATCCTCTGACATTTAAAACTGTCAGCAAATCGAGCCCGAGCCTCCTCCTTCAGATGACACAAGTATTCATCTGAAAACAAAGACTGAACTGTGCGCAACAATCAGATTAAATGACACAACAACAAGGCCTGCAAATCCAACAAGTATAGCTCATTTCTCCTGTGTGGGGACATTCAACAATATGAGATTAATGAACAAATACGAACATGGGTGTAATTACTGCGTGTGTTAAAAACAACACCACCAAAGCAGACAGTAAGATGGCTCCAAGTCCTACCTGACCCAGCTGATAATGACGGAGACAAAAGATCCAATGTTTGTATTTTACTGTCTTTAACAGATGAGCAGCTAAACCAGGACATCTTCATAAACAAGGCTTTCAGATATTTTACTGGGACATCTAAGCAAAAAGGCTTTTTCAGATCTTCATGCTGAGCTCGTTTAATACTTTGGTGCTCTCCGAGCTTCAAGATAAACACGCGGAAATACAAGATAGTCATCTTCAGAAAGTTACTCACAGGAAGTAACAAGGCTGCATGTGAGTGCAATGACACTTTCTAATATTTAGACAACTTTAAAAGACTATTTTATAAACAAACCTCACAAGTTCTGAATAGGAAACTAGAGCAGGGTCAGCACACTGTGATGAACTACTAGTAGAGCTACACTCTACTAGTACTCTACTACTAGTAGCTCAGCTTTTGCACACAGTC